CCATGTAGAATTCCAGCGAGAGGTARTAAATCCTCTGGAAGAGAAAACCACCCCCTGGTCACCTTTTCCAGGGCTGGAGGAGAAAGCTGCTATGGGGTGATATTTTAAAAACAAACAGGAAAAAACGCAGCTCTTGACAGAGCAGGGTGGTTTACACCAGGATTTTCATGGTTGTGGTTCCTGGGTGGCCYGGCAGCCGCTCTCCAGCTCTTTCCCAAACAGGGAAGAGGCTGTTTTATTTGGACAAGCCCTGGCTCCCTGTCCCAGAGCAGGGACAGCTCCAGGATGGTCACCCCGCGCACGCCGGTGGCGGCGGCACAAAGTTAAACTTTTCAAGAGGAAAAGTTTAACGTCACTCCGGGCTGAAAGCCACCGGAAAACCGAGAAAGCAGCCGGGGCCAGGCAGCGTCCGCGGGGACATGGGGCTTCCTCTGCTGTCCCCTCGGAGCGGGGACACTCCCGCTGACACCGCGGGTACAGGACGCGGCCGGTCCGGCCTTGTGTAAGCCGAGCCTTGTGTAAGCGTCAGCACCGGCAGGTTTTAAGGAAGGATTTAGGCTGCGGGAAGTCGCTGACTGGACAGGTTTGCCCAGGACTTGCGCGGGGTCGGGCCGGGAATGGAGGTGGGATAGAATCCTGGAATTCTAGAATGGTTTGGGGTGGGAGGGATTGCACAGAGCGTCTCTTTCCAACGTTCCTGTCGTGCGCAGGATCCCTTGGGAGTACGGGATGACTCCGGCAGAGCTGCGAGCAGGAACTCCGGGCAGCCGGAGAGATCTCAGCTCCAAACCCTGGAGGAAGCTCCTTTTTCTCACCCCTACACAGCACGGGGGAGTGCTGAGCTATCGCGGCTGGCACGCTCCCAGCGAGGTGCTGGCAGGGAGGAAATTGATGCCGACAGGGACATCCAGGTGTCAGGAGGGGGATTAGGGCTTAATCCCCCCGCGGCAGAGCCCGGAGCAAGGCAGCGGGACGAGCAGCAGCACAGCAACTCCTGCACAAACAGGATCTCTCACGCTTGGGATCACTTGTGCTAAACAAGACCTGTTTGTGGYTGGCTTCGGGTGCTTTTCAGCCTTTGCAGTAATTCCCCCGGGAAGCCTTTGGAGTTGGTTTTGGTAGACAGCACCCACGCCGGCGCCGCGGGACAACAAACGGCGTTCCCATGCCCTGCACCCCGCTCCCGRCCAAGCCGCGCTCTGTTTGTTTTGCAAAGCAAAGGACAGTGGCCTCGCTTGGTAAAGTCCAGTCCCTCCTCTCGGAAAAGTTACCGGAACAGCCCKAAATCCGTGAAAAACCGAGCCCCGCCAATCCCTCTATTCCGGCGCCCAGGGAGGGYTCACATCCCCGGGGTTCTCATGGATCCCACCCCAGCCGCAACCCCGGACCCGCCGTGGGGGGCTCCCAGCACCCCGCCCCGCACKGAGGGGCTCCCCCACACCCCACCGCTCCCACCTTGGGATCCTTCTCGTAGTAGTACTGCTGGGTGCGGATCCAGCGCCCCACCAGGTGGTCCCGCACCGTGTGGGCCAGGGCGAAGTAGTAATCGCGTGGGGTGGCCACATTGCGGTCCTTGACCAGGGTGAAGTGCAGGTGCCGGTTGAAGCCCCGCTTCAGCTCGGCCACGCTCTCGGCGCCCACGATCCCGCGGATGCTGATCTGCTTCCGCCGCTCCTGGTCCGACAGCGGCCGCGACATCGCGGCGGGGCTGCGGGGACACGGGGAGGGGGGACTCGGACACTCGGGCTGGGCTCCGGCGCCGCGTTCCGCCTCCGCCCAGCGCTGGCACCGCCCCGGGAGGGGACGGGATGGGGACGGGGATGGGGACGGGCCCCGCAAAGGGCCGCCCACGCGTGGGGCGGGAGCGCTGACCGCCAGCGGGGGGGCAAAGGGGGGACCCCGGGGAGCGCCCGGAGAGGGGCGCAGAGAGGGTGGAATGGTGGGGACCGGGGATGGATAGAGCGGGGTGTAAAGGGGGGAATCCCGGGGATGGACGGAGGGAGGAGTAAAGGGGGGACTCCGGGAACGTGGCCGGGAGATGTCCCGGGGACCGCCCCTTGGTGGGGGGGAGAGATCTCAGAGGGTGCGCGAAGGGCGGACCCCGACAGGCACAGAGGAGTGTGCAAAAGGGGGGGACTCCGGGTATGGACTGAGGGGTGTGCAAAAGAGGGGAAGGACCTCCAGGGGCACAACGGGGTCTGCAAAGGGGGACCCCGGGGTTCTCAAAGGGATGTGCAAAGGGGGGGAACCCGGGGTTCTCAGAGGGATGTGCAAAAGGGGACCCCGGGGTTCTCAAAGGGGTGTGCAAAGGGAGGGACCCCGGGGTTCTCAGAGGGATGTGCAAAAGGGGACCCCGGGGTTCTCAGAGGGATGTGCAAAAGGGGTCCCCGGGGTTCTCAGAGGGATGTGCAAAGGGGGTCCCCGGGGTTCTCAGAGGGATGTGCAAAGGGGGTCCCCGGGGTTCTCAGAGGGATGTGCAAAGGGGGTATCCCGGGGCGCTGCAGAGGAGGGGGCGCAGAGTCAGGAAAGACCCCGAGCCCCTCGGACGCACCCGCAGCCGGACGCAGCGGAGCGCCCCGGGAGCGGCCACCCCCACCCAGCGCTTCCCCACGCAGGGACCGCCCCACGSAGCGACCGCCCCTCGCAGGGACCGCCCCACGCGTGGCCCCGCCCGCGGGACAGCCGCTCTCGGAGCACGTACAAGGAAGATCKTTCCCGCCGGGCCCGGAGGGAAAAGCCGGAATGTGTCATGATGTGTCCCCCCGTGTCACGATCCATCGCCGTGTCACGGCCTCCCCCCCGTGTCACAGTCCCCTCCCTGTTTTACGGACCCCTTCCCGTGTTACGGTCCCCTTCCCGTGTCACGGTCCCTCCCTGCCCGACTGCCCCCGCCCTCCCCCGCAGCATCTCCCGGCCCCCTCCCTTTGCCCGTCTCCTCACTGTTCTCTGGCCGCTCGCAATCCCTCTGGAAATGGCGTGGGCTCTGTCCCCGGCTCCGGGCTCTTTGCCGCTGCTTCCCGCACCGTGTCTGCCCGCAGTGCCCAGCCCTGCCCGCAGCACCCTGCCCTGCCCTGCCCCCGGTACCTCCCAAGGGCAAAAATACCCGATATCAGCTTCCAACGCAGCACTTCCTCCTCCCCCTCTCCTTATCCTCCTCCTCCTCCAGCCTGGCTCCGCAGGTTTTCCAGATCTGTTTTCCCCCGAGCTGGGCTCATCCCCAGCAGGGTGGGCAGCAACGCAAGGAAATAGGATTCTGCCCCTCTGCCCCACTCAGGTGAGACCCCACCTGCAGAGGTGCATCCAGCTCTGGGGTCCAGCATGAGCAGGACATGAAGCTGCTGGAGCGAGTCCAGAGGAGCCATGGAGATGCTCCAAGGGCTGGAACCAGGCTGGGAGAGCTGGGGGTCCTCACCTGGAGAAGAGGAGGATCCAGGGAGAGCTCAGAGCTCCTTCCAAGGCCTAAAGGGGCTCCAGGAGAGCTGGAGAGGGACTGGGGACAAGGGATGGAGGGACAGGACACAGGGAATGGCTTCTCACTGCCAGAGGGCAGGGATGGATTAGATTAGATCCATGCACGGGCATCCATCCAGAGCAATAGAATCACAAAATCGTGGAGTGGTTTGTTTTGGAAAGGACTTTAAAGCTCATTTTGTCCCAACCTCTGCCATAGGCAGGGACACCTTCCACTGTCCCAGGGTGCTCCAAGCCCTGTCCAACCTGGCCTGGAACATTTCCAGSGRTMCAGGGAWCCTGTGCCAGGGCCTCCYCACCCTCATAAGGAAGAATTTCTTCCCAACAGCTCTAAATCTCYRYTCTGTCAGTRTRAAACCATTGCCCCTTGTCCTATTGCCACAGATGCTCTGGCCCTGGGCTGTTCCCTGTGCTGTACACGATTTACAGGCTGGTTTCACATGCTGCAGGGAGGCTGCAGTTTCCTGTATCTCCGGTGGCACGGGCACATTCCCACTCTGCGAGGAACAAGCATCCTTCTGAGGCGCACTTCACCCATTAGCATTTTCTTCTTTAGCCCTGGACTCGAGCCCGTGATGAGCTCAGAGGCTGCACCCTGGAAACCTCTCCTGGGTCACTCTGGGAGAACAGAGCAGGCACTGATATCCCAGCAGCGAGTCCTTCTCACGGCCCTGGGAGAGCTGTCCACGCTGTTCCCTTGGAAATGTTCCCCTTGCACTCATCCCTTTGCATTTTGCCTACATTTCATCTCCCTGGGGAGGTGGTGCTGTTTCCAGCCTCGGTCATCCCTCTCTCGTGCCTTATATCCCAGGGCCATCCATCAGCACCCCAATTTCCCTGCAKGCATGGGAGCTGCACCCTCCTCTTTCCCATTGTCCCATTTTGGGAATGGGGAATYGTCATTTCTCATGRARGGRTGTGGGGGTTTGCTKGTAAAGGSTCAGGAAAAGGCTGGGTGGGATGTRGGGCTGCTGGATTTGGGGTTCTTGGCTGTGCTTGGGTTAGCTCCCCATGAGTCCCAGGGGTGTAATGGGGTGTGCAGTGTCTGCCTCCCTCCAGGGGCATCTCCTGCCCWCAGGGTGGGAAACAGGAGCTCTGATTTGGTGCTGCTCTGTGATTTGGCTGCGGCACCACCGCAGGGAGAGGGTGCCACCGTGCCAGGGAAGGAGGCACAATGGCACAAGACCTCAGTCATCTCATGGTGCTGCCACAGCTCTGCATTTCAGAGAATCCCAGAATGGTTTGSGTTGGAAAGGACCTAAAAGTCCATCTCATTCCACGCTCTGCATGAGCAGGGACAATTTCCACTGTCCCAGGGTGCCCCAAGCTCCAATGTYCAAYGTGMCTTTGGGCATTTCCAGGGATCCAGGGGCAGCCACAGCTTCTCTGGSCCCCACAGCCAGAATTCCTTCAGCTGGCTCTGCTCCCTCCCACAGACCGAGTTCTGTCCATTCTCTGCCTCTGGACCGGCCCAGTGAGGGATGTGCACGGGATGGAGCTGGGAAGTGAAGCACAGAGCTGCTCTGCCCTTCTCTCGTAAAAGTCCTTTATTAGAACAGCAAACGTGACACTTGTCGTCAGTACAGCGGCTGTGTGCGGCTACCATCGCGCAACGGGGGGACGACGTCTTACAATCACTGGGACTCTAAGAAGCACCATGAACATCCTAAAGAACGGGGGATGACGGCTGAGAGGAGCCCCGGGTGAGCCGGCCACGGGGGCTCCTCTGGAAGCACCGAGGAGCTGCCCGGCGTTGTCCCGCAACACGGCTCTCCGGCAGCTGGGGGAACCCCTCGGTGGGAGTCAACGAGATAGCACCCATCCAATAAATTAGGAAAACTTAATGCTGGAGCAACAAGGGGATGAACGGGACTGTCCTAGGGGAGGGCAGGCTGGCAGGGAACGGGCTATTTACACTTGTCTTTCTGCTGGGCCGGCATTCCCGTGGCTCCGGACGGGCTGGGAGCGATCCCGCAAAGCGAAGGGGACCGCAAAGCGAAGCCGGCACCGTTCCTTTCCTGCCCCTGAATTACCAGAAAGTCAAGCAGGGAATGGAGCTGATGGGAACTGCTGCCGGCAGCAGGCTTGGATTATTCCTGAGGGCGTGGCAGGGCTGTGGCCAGCTCTCCTTCCTCCCCATCCCATCCCCATCCCCGGGCTCTCGGTCAGACCCTCGCTGCAGAATGAATTCTCCGGTGATTGGAAGGACACTATCAGTTGAATTTAAGGCTAGGCTTTATATGGCAACTRTAAAAAAATAAACACTAATCTCCGAAGGGCCGGCTGAGGGCTCTCCGGTCTATGGCTGTGGCGCGTGTGCTGGCACCGAGGGATGGGCATTGGGCACCCAACCAAGGGTCTGCCAGCACCCAGAGCACCTGGGGACGGGACGGCCACCCCCTGCCCCATGGGGACACGGGACAGAGAGGGGTGTTTGGTAAGGACATGGAGACTGACTGGTAATCCAGGACCCACCTCTACACGTGACCGAGGGTGCTCTGCAAGAAAGGCCACAGGGGAAAGAAATATCCTGCAAAGTAACCAGGCTGGCGTGGGCAAAGCGTTCCCGGGGCGGGCTCCCTCCAGCCAGCCCCAGGGGAGGGGAAAGAGAGACGGAAGTGTCCCCCCGCCCCAAACCCCAACTCAAATCAGGAAAAATCAAACCTAAAAGCGGACACAGGAGAACAGCTCAGGCTACCTAGGTACTTGATCAGCCAAAGAGAGCTAAAGAGCGAAGCGCACACACACGGGACAGCGCGGAGGCCGGAGAGCGGAGACGGCCGAAAGCCAGGATGGTCCTTCCCGATTTGCCTCCCCACCTCCGGCCAGAGGCCGAGCAGGGACCCGGCAGYTGGGCAGGGACCCGGCCCTGAGCAGGCTGGCCTTGTCCTGCAGGAGGGAACGGGCTGGCTCCTCTCACCCCGAGAAGAGGCAGCCGGCTCCGGGAGCGTCCTCACGGCATGGCCGAGCGCGAAGCGTAGAACTCGGGCACYGGCAGCCCGGTGTGCAGCGTCACCTGTGAGGAGAGACACGGGGCTCAGCGGTGTCCCAGTGTGCCTGCTGGGACAGCTGGTGGTGTGGCAGCTGGCACAYTGTCCCCAGGGAGGGTGAGAGCAGCACTGGGGACAGCAGGATGTGACCGGAGATGCACGGAGCCCAATGCTCCTCCAGAACTGTGGTGGTGGCTCCATCTCGCTTGTTCCTGACTTTTCAGTGCTGCTGGAGTGAACTGGGACTCCCTGCGAGTGTGGTGAGCAGTACCAAGCCCAAATATTCCCAGCTGGCAGCACACAAATCCCACAGCTGGCTGCCAGAGGGGTGGGATGTGGTGGGAGTTGGGTTTTTGTGCAGGTGRGATGGACAAGAGGGGATGGGGGGTCTGAAGGACAGTGAAAACATCACAGGAGATCCTGGAGAAGCCCCTGAGCAGAGCRGGGATGGGGATGGAGTGGGGASAGGGCCAGTGGAGGGATGGGGAYRGTGGAGGGGCTGTGGGAGGAAGGATCTTTGTGATGGGGACACTGAGCAGCACCAGGACATTGGGACAGGGTCAGGCACAGGGGGAGGTCAGGGCCCTCCACAAATGCTGCCATTTGGGAGGAAAGCACAATTCCTTCTTTCATTGCAGCACTGTCCCCTCCAGATACAGATTTATAGAAGACTTTGTCTAAAAAACACTAATTTCCCTCCCAATTAGAGTTGTTTTCAATTAGTCATATACCTCTGAAAAAGCATAATAAATGGTTTGGCTTAATTAGCAGCCTTTTATCAGGATCCCACAGGATTTCTGTGCTGTCAGGGGATTCAGGCTCTGCCTTGCCCAGGGTTTCCAGCAATGTCCTGTCCCCTGTGGCTGTGTAGGGGAYTGAGGCAGGAATTAAACCCATCATACGTTTGTACCCCATTAACACAGCACCTCTAAACCCAGCACAGACAACGAGGGCTTCATTAGTGGCTCCTAATTAAACATTTCCCAGCCCTTCCCCAAGGCAGGCAGGCTCCTCTGCTGGCGAGATCTGTGGGGTGGGACGCTTTGGCAAAGACACTCCCAAGGTTTGGGATGGTCCTGATGGACACAACAGGGCCTGTCCTAACCCATGGATCCCCAATTGGTGCCTCTGCCCTTGCACAGAGGTGATCATAAAACCCCAGAATGGTTTGGGTTGGAAGGGACCTTGAAGAACATCTCATTTAACTCCCTGCAATGTCAGGGACACTTTCCACTATCTCAGGGTGATCCAACCTTGCCTTGGGCACTGCCAGGGGTCCAGGGGCAGCCACAGCTTCTCTGGGCACCCTGTGCCAGGGCCTCCCCACCCTCCCAGCCAGGAATTCCTTCCCAATATCYCATTGTCCCTTATCCTGTCACTCCAAGCTCTGTTCCAAAGTCCCTCTCCAAAATGCTGAACACCCTGAGCTGATCCACCACGTGCAACGTGTCCTTGGCTGTGCCTGGGCAGGGCAGGAGGTGAAGGCAGTGGCAGGGGGGATGTGCCAAAGCCAGGGTGTGGAAGATTCCTCGGGACAGAGGATTGCAGGGATGTGAGCAGTGAGAAGGAAAATGAAAGATGGAAATACCGCATCAGCCCAGGGAGTCACTGCTTGGTGATGGTTCAGCAGAGCTGAGAGCTTGGGAGAGAGGGAGAGAAGAGGGGGTTGAGATGGAAAACAGCCTTTAAAAGGTGCCCTTCTCCTTGGTGATGATCCCACGTGGATTCTGGGAGAGCTGTGGGAGCTGCTGAGGGGCTCTTGTTGGGGAGCATCACAAAACCCCATTATCAAACCCCATCCCAGGGAGGGCTGGAGAACTCGTGATGGAGAGAGCTGGGGCGAGCAGCTGGTGGCTGCACGAGTTCTGTCCTCATTCTGGGGATCACAGGTGGGTCAGGGTGTGAGTTCAGCTCCTTCCAAGCCRCCCTTGCCACACAAGAACCCTGCTGCCCCAGAGCAGCACCTGACACTGCAGTGATTGCAGCGTGAGTGTGACAGCAATGTCCCCCTTCCCACTGCAGGAACGTCAGGCCCTGCTCCAGAGCCCATCAGACCATACCTGCACGTTCCTGTTGAGGCTGACGGCGGGGAAGAAGAGCCCCTCGAGGTTCTCGAAGGCCACGGGCCCTTGCTGGTCCTCGTTGATGGAGAAGGTCAGCGTCCTCCTGGTCAGATCCAGCAGCACTCCCACSGTGGCGCCTTTCGTGATCCCGCCCTCGGTCCTGTGGGAGGACATGGTCAGTGTTTCAATGTCCCCCRTGCTCCTGGTTCAGGGTTCAGGCCATGGAGCTCAAGGAGTGATGGTGGTGAACACCACGGCTCACCCAGGAGCCAGGCTGTGACCTGCTCCCATCCCAGGCACGCTCAGGAATCCCTGGGAATCATTCCCCCACCCTCCCATGGAGCTGCTCTCCTCTTGCCATGATGTCCCCAAGGGAAAGCCACCCTGACAGTGGCCACAGCCACCCAGCCCGGGAAGGAAACCACGTGGAATTGTGGAGCAAAGCTACAGCACCCACACCAGAACCTGCTGATCCACAGGGAACAGCCCTTGAGGCTACACAAAGGTGACCCCAGGCTTTCCCCAGGCCATGTCCCCAGCCCCATGGGGACAGCAGCAGCTGTGACACAGGGATCACAGGGATCAAGGCAAATGTTGCTGTTGCAGGAGTTGCAAGGGTGGCACTGGGAAAGGGATGGCACGACGGAAAAGCCAGCACGGAAAGAGTGGTGACCAGCAGGGAAGGAATATTGGAACAAGGAAGCACCAGGCAGGCGGGGCCTGATCCCTCATCCTCCAACAGAGGTGACCAGGACTGATGCCACCATCCCCACGGGCAGCTGTAGGTGACCAGGATTAACACCACCACCCCAGGGGCAGCTGTAGGTGACCAGGACTGACACCACCATCACCACAGGCAGCTGTAGGTGACCAGGACTGATGCCACCATCCCCACAGGCAGTTGTAGGTGACCAGGATTGACACCACCATTCCCACAGGCAGCTGTAGGTGATCATGACTGATGCCACCATCCCCACAGGCAGCTGTAGGTGACCAGGATTGACACCACCATCCCACAGACAGCTGTAGGGGACCACGATTGATGCCACCACCCCCATGGGCAGCTGTAGGTGACCAGGATTGACACCACCATCCCCATGGGCAGCTCTAGGTGACCAGGATTGATGCCACCATCCCCACGGGCAGCTGTAGGTGACCAGGATTGACACCACCATCCCCACAGGCAGCTGTAGGTGACCAGGACTGATGTCACCACCCCCATGGGCAGCTGTAGGTGACCAGGAGTGATGCCACCATCCCCATGGGCAGCTGTAGGTGATCATGACTGATGCCACCATCCCCACAGGCAGCTGTAGGTGACCAGGATTGACACCACCATCCCCACAGGCAGCTGTAGGTGACCAGGATTGACACCACCATCCCAGGGGCAGCTGTAGGTGACCAGGATTGACACCACCATCCCCATGGGCAGCTGTAGGTGCCACTGGCTCCTCCCTGGGCTGCAGCTTCACCCCCCCATCCCAAGCTCCTACCTGTTGGTGTGGGAGTTGTTGTGCATGAACCAGCTGCGGTTGTTGTCCACGTACATGGCCCAGGCCTTGTCGTCCTTGCCCAGCATGGCGTCCTTGAGGACGTCGATGCGCGCCACGCCAAAGGCCGGGTCGGGGTGGTTGTCRTAGCGGTCGATGGACAGCTCCCAGTAGTGCAGCCCTTTGGAAAAGCCCGTTTTGCCCAGCACCACCCTGTCATCGTAGCTGTTGCAGGTGACAGTCAGGTTGTCGTTGGAGAAGATGATGTCGGCATGGGCAGAGGCGGGGTCAAAAGAAAACCAAGCCACTGCAACACACAAACAAGGCGAGCTCAGCGCCCTGGGGACGCGATGGGGACGCACCAAGCCACACGGACAGGGCATGCTGCATGCAGGACACGGAGCTGCCACCACACAGGGACAGCTGCCACCATGGAGGGACAGCTGTCACCATGGAGAGACAAATTCCACCATGAAAGGACAGCTGCCACCACACAGGGACAGCTGCCACCACAGATGGACAGCTGCCACCATGGAAGGACAGCTGCCACCACAAAGGGACAACTTCAACCATGGAGGGACAATTTCCACCACCGAGGAACAGCTTCCACCAAGGAGGCACAACTTTCACCATGAAGGACAACTTCCACCATCGAGGAACAGCTTCCACCACTGAAGGACAACTTCCACCATGGAGGGACAACTGAGACCATGCAGGGACAGCTTCCACCACCGAAGGACAACTGCCACCATGGAGGGACAACTGCCACCACGGAGGGATGCTCTCAGCTCCTGTGGCTATGGCTACCAGCGCAGCTGAGGTTTTGTGGCCAGGACTTGGAGGAGTTTCACTCTTGCTGCTTCAGGTCTCCCAATGTCTTGGCTTGTGAGCCCGCAGGATCCTCAAGGTGTCCTCTAAAATTTGGCCCTCGCAGGAGAGGTGATCCTCACCAGGTCTGCAAGCTCTAACAGGATTATGGAATCATGGAATGGTTTGGGTTGGAAAGGAGCTTAAAGCCCATCTTGTTCCAACCCACCTTCACTGGCCCAGGRTGCTCCAAGCCCCGTCCAGCCTGGCCTGGAACRTAACTCAGGACCAAGTGTTGYTCAAGGAACAGTTTGCAGGGTCAGACCAGTGCGGGAAGGGGACTGAGGAGCAGCAGAGAAGCTCTGTGTGCGTATTTAAGGGCTGTTTTGGGAACCAAAACCACACACAAAGGTCTTCATTTAGAGATGAAGAAACCTCCCTGCCRAGCAACGAGCCACACCTACAACAAGAAAACACGCCAAAACCTCCACGATTCCATAGGGTCGCTGTTTTAAACGCACAGGACTYGGTCACTGCAAATCTGACAGACACAGCAGCACGTCCTCGACAAGACACAGGGACAGGGACCATCCCCAAGCCACCAGCCCGGCTCCCCACGCCATTTCCTCCAGCTGCCAACGTTCAACTGACAACATCCACAACACATTTGACGGCTTGAAAGATAAAAACACTCGGGTCAGACAGGTTGACGGTTTATTGGAAGGTGGCACGAGACAGCTGCCATGCACGCGGCCACCCCGCGCGCCCCGCTCCGCACGCGGGGGTGCCGTACCTGCCACCATCTTTTTAATGTCAACTGTGGTCATCCCCGGGGCGAGGCATGCGGGAGAGAAAACAGCACGTCAGGGAAAAGGAGGAGAAAAGGAGGAGAAAAGGAGGAGAAAAGGAGGAGAAACCGTTCCTGCTGGTCTGGGATTGCAGCCAGAGCGTGGAGCTGTTGGTGTTTTGGACCGAGGTGGGGTGAGAGGCACAAAGAGAGGGGTGAGGAGGGAACCCCACAGAGCTGTGGGCTCCTCCTCCCTGCAGGCAGCCTGAAGAGGACAGGCAAGCAGCAGCCACCTCGCTTTAATKAGCTGCAGAGGGGCTAATTGCATCCGTGGCATTGGGCCCACATTCAAGTGCCCTTAATGAATTGGGATACATATTGAGAATCATGGAATGGTTTGGGTTGGAAGGGACCTTAAAGCTCATCCTGTTCCACCCCTGCCATGGCAGGGACACCTCCCACTGTCCCAGGTTGCTCCAAACCTGTCCAACCTGGCCTTGGACAATTCCAGGGATCCAGGAGCAGCCACAGCTTCTCTGGGCACCCTGTGCCAGGGCCTCCCCACCCTCACAGCCAGAGATTTCTCCCCAATATCCCATCTAACCCTGCTCTCATTCAGTTTAAAAGAGGAAAATCAGTTCTTAATTACAGGGCCACTTCCACAGCACTGATCTTGAGCTTCTTAAAACCATATGAAGGAAAACTTAAAATGCCTTTACATGATCCAGCAATAATAAATTCCCCTCCAAATCTGCCTCCTGCCCAGGGCAGTGCTGGAGTCACCATCCCTGGAGGGATTTAAAAGCCCTGTGCATGTGGCACCTGGGGACATGGAGCAGTGCTGGGGGACAGTTGGAGTCGATGATCTTAAAGGGCTTTTCCAACCTCAACAATTCCATGATTTCGTGACACCCGAGAGTGCTCTGCAAGCAGGGTACGAGCAAGAAACGCTGTTCAGTCATCAAAGAAAAGATTAAAAAAAAAAAAAAAGCAAAAAGAATGAAGCAACACGCAGGAGGTGCCAGTTAATTGTAATGAAGATACTTGCCTAATTGGGAGTAAGGCGATCCTTGTGTCTCAAAATTGCATCCTACAAAGAGATACTACATTTCACACATCACAGCCGAGGAACAACAACCTCCTGACAAACACTCGTGAGCGTTTCATCGGTAATTAAGCGTCCAGCAGCCACGGGAGGCCTGATTCATTAAAAGCCAGAGGGCACGGAGAGAGGTGGCAAACACAACCTGGGAGTTTGAGTGTGGATTGGATGAGTCTGACTGCTCAGGAAGCCAAATTATTCAGCATTTCTCCAGAAAGGAGGCAGGAAATTTTAGCTTTGGTGGAGTATTTTGGATGTTTGGTAAAGATTCTCTAGATTGAGTGAAAAAACAGGGATTGAGSAAAGGGCAGCCACTGGTGAGTCCAGTGGAGAGGGACTGGAAGTGGAGCTGGAAAGGGGAGCCCTGGGGGTACCCAAAGGGCTGKAGCTCCATCAGCTGCATGGGCAGGATGTGTTTGGGGTGCCCTGCGTGCTCCTGGGCCTGACTGCTGGGTGCAAACACCTCTGGGGAGCTGGGGACTGACCCAGGGATTGTCCTGACCCAGGGATTGTCCTAATCCAGGAGCTTGTGCTGATCCAGGAGCTTTTCCTCATCTAGGGACTAGCCCTGATCCAAAAGCTTGTCCTGACCTAGGAACTTGTCCTAATCCAGAAGCTTGTCCTGATCCAGAAGGTTTTTCTGGTCTGGAAGCTTGTCCAGACCTAGGGGCACATCCTGACCAGAACGAGAGGACATGAGGGCACTGGATTTTAGGGCCACCCCTGCCCAGCTCTGTGCCCGGTGCTGCCCCTCGTGCCRTGCCAAGAGGCTCCTCCCGAGGCTGCTTTAATGAATCCTGCCCCGTGTCCCTGCTCAAACACCGCTTTTCCGCTCTGCTGAGGGACATGGGCACCCTGGTGTGGCACTCAGGACCCCGTTTGTCCCTGTCCCCCCACCCCAGGGTGGGGTTGCAGCAGGTCCTTGGCGCACACGCGGCTCACGGTCAGCGCRGAAGGGTCCCGGCACACCGGACACAAAGGAAAAAAACGTCCGTAACAAAACAGCATTGGAAGGCAGCAGCTCACAGCAGCACRATGAGAAATCAAACACGAAAAGCACAGAGAAAAAGAAAAGTTTGCAGGATTGTCCCTCCCACCCCGGTTATTCTGGCAAGGGTCATGCTGCGGCATTCCTCATTCCGTGTTACATGGGATGGAAATCAAACAATCGGGGGCCCCCATTCTTCCAGGGGGAGAATTCATTTCCTGGAGAAAGTCAGGAATTAACACCTTTGGAGCGGTGTAAATCCAGAGCGGAGGAAGAATCGGGGCCCAGGATCTTTAGCGACAGAAGATGTGCAAAGATTGGTTAGAAAAAAGCTGGGAGAGCCCCCGGTGCCTGCGGCTCCTGGCTGGCTGCCCAAATCCATCCCTCACCCTAYTGGACCTGCCCATGGATCCGAGAGCTCTGGGGGCTGCCAGGTGAGTGAGGCATCACCAGAGGAGTCACTGCTCTGCAGGAACAAGGCTTTGGAATCATCACACTGGGCTGGGAAAAGCCGAGCCCAGGGCTCAAAGCTGAGWGGAACAGAGCCCAYGGAAGCTGAGCCAGCCCTAAGYTGGGTTGGGAGCTRGAATCACRGAATYCCAGACTGGTTTGGKTTGGAGRGGAYCCTAAAATCATCTTATTCCACCSCCTGCCATGGGCAGGGACACCTTCCACTRYCCCAGGCTGCTCCAAGCCCTGTCCAACCTTGGAYACTTCCARCAAGGGGRACAYCCCARCCTCTCTGGGCCAGACCTCGCCTCCATCCAGACCTGGTTCTTCCTTAAGAAATGTCCAGATTTAATCAACCAAACTAATTTCACAGAGCAAACCTTTGCACAGCGAAAGGAATCCATGGAGATATCTCCACGGGTTTCATCCAGGGAAGGTCTTTTCTGATCATCCCTTGACACAAACTCAACACAAACCAGAGATAAGGGATCTTCTGGTGGGAGGTSTCCCTGCCCATRGCAGGGGGTGGGACTGGGATGAGCTTTAAGCTCCCTTCCAACCCAAACCATTCTGAGATTCATGATCAGCAAAGAGCTCAGCCACGCCAGCCTTTCCAMGAGCAGCACCCAGATGAGGAATTATGGTGCTGCTCCATCACCCCACGCCTCAAACTGCCCACCCTGGCACAGCTGGAACACCCCAGGAGAACCACACCACCAACCCGCCCTCGGTGACAAAGAATTCCCGCTGCCATCYGCATGTCATGGGCAAAACAAACACAACGGGACAGAACGAACAGAGAGTTGGGAGATGCCCGAAGCACAGACCAAGAGGCAACGCCAGAGGTGCTCAGCTCACCGGCTGAATTCAGGGACTGTAAGGAGGAATGCAAGCTCAGCTGGTGGGCCGAAGATCTTAGCTCAAAGTAGGATCTCCCCGAGTAGCTGGGTTGTAGATTAAGGGTGGAGGAGAAAGGACTCATTCTACGCAGCTGCGATCTTTCCAAAGGCACTGGAAAAGGGAGGGTCTGCTCTTCTGACTGCGTGTCTAAACGTAAGATCAATGCAAACYACGCGTCAGAACGGGGTCTGTGCTGGGCGGCCGAGCCCCGACCTCGGATGGGGCAGCAATGTCCAGCTCTGCAGCCCAGCCAGACCCTTCAGGGCAGCCTGA